ATTGTTTAGAGAGCATTTGAATTTCCATTGGGTATATATCTAGGAATGGAGTTGCCGGTTTACAGAGTTTGTGTGTGCTTACTTTAGCAGGATGTGCAATGAGCACTGCTAGGTGGTTATCTCACTTTGTATTGCCTTGTGAGTGTGTTTTCACGTCCGTGTGTCCTGGTGCTACTTACTAACAGGCCATCCTTCCCACCACACTACAGTGTTACCTTTGTTAAAGATCCAGGAATCGCATATGAATGGATGAGTTTCTAGATTCTGCTCTGTCCCATTGTTAAGTTCATCCCCCCTTGCACCAATACCAAGCTATTTAATTAGTGAGCTTTGTAACAGATATTGATCTTTGGTTGTGTTAGTCTTTTAGCTATGTGTTTCTTACATACATTCACAAACACAAAACCTGATAGAATTTGAATTGGGATGGTGTTTAATCTGTAGATCAATGGTGGGTGTGAGCCTGGCTTGGGGCTGTCCTACTTTCCCTTTGTGAGGGGCACCTTAAAAGGTGGGCCGAGGTGTTTGTTCATGTGCCCACTAACAGATGAGCAGCTTCACACTGGCTCATGAGGACTGTTGGGACAAAGGGAAAACTTCCCCTTAGCCCAAGGAAGGTTCACTGAAAAATCAGCTATAAATAAAACAGATTAATAAAAGTAAAGCTATCAAGTTTATTTTAACATGAATACATGGGGGGACCATCTGAAATGAAGATTCATCTCCCCAGTGGGGTTCAGAAGCTTTTATGCCTTTCTGGCAAAATGGTTTATGGAGGGGGAAAGAGGAATTCTGTAGAGCAGCAATAAAAGATTAATAAGGAGGATGAATGGATAGGGAACAAAGATTAATTGGTAAATAGCTACTGCTGGAATTTAAATAGTCTGAGAAAATGGATATTATCTTCTTAAAGAATCTGTTCAGATGTGATCACTTTCCCGGTGTTACAGGAAACACCTGGTGTTCCAGGTGTTACAGTGTTGTTCTCCTAGGTAGGTCTCAATGCCAGGCAGATAAAGAAACTTCGATGATTTTGAGAGAGTTTATGGGGGGAAGGGAAGGTCAGAGAGACCGTGAGGCTGATTCAGTCAGTCCAGTATGTCAAAATGCCACATTTTGGGGGTAAAACATTTCTAATTTCCTTCATGTCATACACAGACACAGCCCTGAGCCCATGAGGACAGACCGGTGATAAAAGGGCCTTAGGCTGCTGCCCAATTGCCCACTTCCTGAGACATTCCAGCAACAGGGAGGCTGCATTAGACCTCAGAGAACACCAGATTGGCCCCGCAGGCTCCAGTAAACCATTTTGGAACCTCATTTGCAAAGATTAAATCTCTGCTTTCAATATATTTGTAAATAATTTAAAATGAATGAGGAAATAAAGCTCTGCCCAGCATTAAGAAGCCAGAGGCTTTGCCGTTCTCTCAAACCCATGGAACAAAACAGGGATTCAGAAACAGATCCTCATTCATACAGTCAATGCATTTTTTGATCAAGCCACAAAGTAGTTACATAGGGACAGGAAATACTTCTAGGCACTTGATGCTGGAAATACTGCCTACCCATAAAGAACCTTGGTCTCTACCTCACACCGTACACAAAAATTAATCTAAAATGGATCAAAACTACATACAAAAAAGCTTAAACTATGAATCTTCTGGAAGATAACCTACAAAAGTATGTAGGTGCAGGCATAGATTTCTTTGACATATTCAAAAGAGCACTACACCCAAGAGTAAAGAAAGAAAAATCAACTTCATTAAAACAAGAACATCTACTTAACAAAAAATATTGATAGGCAAACCACAGTCTGGAAGAATATTTGTAATATCTACAAATACTGTATGCAGAATATACATATATAACAATTCACTAATTAAAAGATACATCAATAATAAAAAAACATTTAACAAATGGGCAAATGATTTGAAAGATATACCCTAAAGGAATGCATGCAAATAGCTAATAAGCACATACAAATGTGCTTAACTTGCTGCACTTCCTTAGCTATATTGCTTACCTGCTTTCCTATCCTCCCTCACTGCATTGGCTGGATTTTGCCCCTTGAGTGCTTCAAGTACTTACCAGGCCTTCTTGCTGGGCTCCCTACTTGTTGGTTCTGGCAACCTCTGCACAGGGCTTGTCCTTCGAAAGTTCAACCACCAGCTGTGAGGCACCTCCAACCCTCTATCCAAGCACCAACCCTATAGAACATCTCCTCTGAGATTCTAGAAACTGGTTATGCTTCCTATTTCCATTTATTCAGCAGTCCTGGGAGTGGTAGCTTTTCTCTGCAGTTTTTTAGTCTTCCTATTTTCTCAGAGTCAACATTTTGCTCTTTTCCCCTCTCAGTATCAGAATAAATAACTCTCTGTTTTGAATAACTTCCTTAGGAAACACATAACACGCTATCACTTTTGTCTTTTTTTCCTCTGGGCCCATTTTGACACAGGGAACATATTTTATGTGATTTTGAAACACTGTCTTGCCCATGTCACATCATACAATCTTCACCAAATAGAACACATGAATCCCCAATGATAGGGTGTAGTCATTTAACTATGTAGTCTTTTCTGCCAAAATCATTTTTAAAAAGTCTTCTCCCCTTCCTGGGTTATAATTAAATCTAGGGATACTGATAGATCCCTTTTCACTACATAGGAATGCCCATTTGAGACTAAAATCCAAGCAGGGCAAAAGCGGGACAAGAGACACGCCTTCATGATATGATTGATTCTACCTTGTCTAGCCATACTAGAAGCCATTTGCATTCTTGACTGGTCAGTTTTATAGATCTTTTTGGCAAGGGCTGCTTTATCAAGGTAAGTTTGACTTGGATTCCTGTCACTCAGATTGAAAGAGCCCTGAATGTACATTGAGCCACATTGTGTGATATTCTACATTGTGTAACACAGTTCTTCATAGTGTAGTAGTTAAAAAAAACAACTTTGTGTTTATAAATACCAAGTATGAAACTTGCTCTGACAGTAGCTATTTTGACCTTGGAACGATCAATTATCCCTCCTAGGTTTGAGTTTCTTATATGCGAGACAGGGATGCCTAGTTTAGAGGGTTATTGTAAGGGTGAGATGAGGAAATGTATATAAAGAATTTAGCACTGTGATTGGGAAATAATAACTAATGGTGGTACAAGTCTCAATTTCCTTGTTTATCTCTCTAATTAGATTGAGGAATCCTAGGGGCAAGGTCTACATCTCATTCTGCTTATGTTCACAGTCAATTGCAACCTAAATGTTTAAAAAATTAATTGTATGAAATAAATCCATAAAAAGTGTATGATACAGACTATTTGTAGGGTTTTAGTTCTCATGCATCATCTACTCAGAGTATAATAGATCTGCTCAAGATCTAGAATTTTCTGAAAAGCAGTTATGTTCAGACTATATGGACAGACCAGTGCTTCTCAAGTATGGGTAAATTTGATACCCAAGGGAGATTTGACAGTAAGGAATATTTTGATTATAGCTACTCATATGTGTATGTGTTGGAGGGACACTATGGGCAACAAATGGATAAAGCAGAGATGCTATGCATCTTATACTGCACAGGACAGCCCCACAGCAAAAAAAATGATATAATCCCAAATGTTAAAAGTTACAAGATTGAGAAACCTTGATTCATATGAATATGGATGAGAAACAGGGAAAGGGATACTAACATCTATCAGGCTCTTTTAATGTGTCGGGCACATTTATAATACTTTATGTGAATTAACTCAGATAACTACCACAACAACTCTATGAGATAGGTTTTTTATTAACCTCAATTTAAAACCACACATAAATATATGTAGATCCAAATATACATATATGAAGGTCAGAGAAGTTCAATCACTTGTCTACAGTCTCACAATAAGGAAGTTAATAAGTCTGGATTTAAATTCAGTCTGACTTGAGAGCTTATTCCCACACTCACAACCACTTTACAAGAACTCATTATTTAGGTCAAATATGCACACATGTGTAGTGTTAAAGCTATGACCTAATATTTGACTAATGCAATCCCGGAGGCCTGTGGAAAAGTAGTAGAAATGGCAAGGGACTGAGCTCCTAGACCTTATCTTGTAGAATGAAGCACAGACTCCAGGGGATGAGGAGGAGGGTGACAAAGGGGTCACCCACTACTCTGCATGGAGAACTAGAATTTCCCGGGGTGAAATTATAAGCTAAGTAGAACATTGAGTCCTGAAGGACCTGATGTTAGTTCTGTGAAAAAGAATGTAAACACAGGCTCAGTAATATCTATCCTCCAGGGCCTCATCAAACTTGGGAAGAAATCATAAAGCAAAGAATAGTTCTCTGTGCTTCTAATCAATTCTACCAGAACTGCAGAGTGTGAGATAGATTTCCATTTGAGTTAGCTCTTTCGGAGGTTCGGATAAGATAGTTGTTTTCACCCTTGCAAGTGAAGAGAATCATATGGGATAATTCTCAAATAGAAATCATGGCATATTCCCTGGGATACCTCTTCTAGCATGCCAAAGACTGAAGACTGCTCTGATGGCTATTACATCCCATCATCAGAAATCTTGACCCCTGAGGACAGTGGGGAGGAAGGGCCCTAAGGGCCAGAAGCGGTCGGTCCTCCAAGGATAGGAAGGTGAGCATTGAATCACGTTTGTCTTGATAATTATCTTTGAAATACAAAACTATATAAATCAATGGTTCTGGGGGCCACATCATCTATTTATTGCTCTATCTAGCCCTAATCCTTAGAGAAGCCTAAGGAGAAGAGAGGGAAAGACGTGCAGAGACATTGGGATGTCTACTAGCGTTCTCTTTGCACAGAGACATACGTGGGTTGGAGGACAGAAAATGGGAAACACTCAGGAATCACCATGAAAAGCCTTGCTTTTTAGATGCCTTGTTGTGTGTTTTCAGACAAACCCGAGATTGCAAACCAGCACATTCAGCTCTCCCTCTGGATATAAAAAGGAGGGTCCATTGTTAATGTCGCCTTCTACCCTGTTCCTGCAGGTCACACCTGTGGAGTGAATGGCTGTGGAAAATGACTCTTCAGTGACAGAGTTTGTTCTCATGGGATTAACAGATCAGCCTGAGCTCCAACTGCCCCTGTTTTTTCTGTTCTGGGTGAACTACATGGTCACTGTGGTGGGAAACTTGAGCTTAATCAATCTAATTTGCCTGAATCCACACCTTCACACCCCCATGTACTTTTTCATCTTCAATCTGTCCTTCATTGATCTCTGTTACTCATTTGTCCTTACCCCCAAAATGCTGATGAGCTTTATTTCAGAGAGGAACACCATCTCCTTTACAGGATGCATGACTCAGCTATTTTTCTTCTGCTTTTTTGTCATCTCTGAGTGCTATGTGCTGACAGCCATGGCCTATGATCGCTACGTGGCCATCTGTAAGCCCCTGCTGTACACGGTGGCCATGTCCCGTCAGAGCTGTTCTCTGCTGATGTTGGGCTCATACCTGATGGGGTTTGCTGGTGCCATGGTGCACACAGGGTGCATGATCAGGCTCACCTTTTGTGATTCCAACATCATCAACCATTACATGTGTGACATCTTCCCCCTCCTCGAGCTCTCCTGCAGCAGCACCTATGCCAATGAGCTGGTGAGTTCTGTAATTTCGGGCACAGTTGCCATGGTATCTAGCCTCATTATCACCATCTCTTATGCTTTGATTCTTTTCAGTATCCTTCACATGTCCTCAGCTAAGGGTTGGTCCAAAGCCATCAGCACCTGTGGCTCCCACATAATAACTGTTGGGCTCTTTTATGGCTTTGGGCTGCTCACTGATCTTAGGCCATCATCTGCTGGGTCTATGGGCCAGGGGAAATTTTTTTCAGTGTTTTACACGAATGTGGTTCCCATGTTGAACCCTCTCATTTATAGTCTGAGGAACAAGGATGTCAAACTTGCTCTGAAGAAAACCCTGAAGAAAATGAGAAACTGAGCAGAGCCAGTGGTGCTGCCTTAGTCCCTGTCTCCAGTGCTGGGACTTTCTCTCCTGTTCCTGCTCCTCTTCATCCTATTCCTCCTTTTCTTCTTTTCATCTTTCTTCTAAAGTCTTCTTGGCAAGATTTCTACTTTAATATCTTCTTTTCTCTCAACATGCAATGTAACCATGTGGGCGTATTCTAGGACTCAAGAGTCATCTCAGCCCCACGGTGGCCCCAACCAGATCCTTATTCTCCTTACCAGATAGAGATCCTGAGCTGATAGACTTTCGTATGTAAGGATAATGCTACTGCCTATATTTTCTTATCTATCTTCATCGCTCAAGATAAGCCAGGGAGTTGGATGCTGTCTGACATTTTTTTTTATTTCTCGCTTTCTTTGAAGCAATAGCATAGAGCCCTTTCTTGTTCCAAGGATTTTATTAATTATTTATTACTGCATTTAAACAGAGAAGGGATGACGAAAAATTGTGTGGACATGTGTAAAGTTGTAAAAATATCCAGAATGTTTCATGGTTCTTTTAGTAATGGTTCTAATTAAGGATTTTTAGCCTCACATCTATAATGGAACTGTATACCTTATTGTACTGAGGTCCTATTCTTATGGATGTTTGTGGATGGACTGGGCTTATCACTCTGCTCACCAGTAATGACAATGCATTGGTCTACTTATATTTTGTTATAATAGAATTGACATTGTCACTGACTTGTACCTATGCCTGTGATTCTGCTTAAAAATTACACAGTCACATTCTTGGTGATAGAATCATTTCGCATGCTTTGTCAAGATTCTTTGATAGCCTAGCTGTGTAGCAAGGGTTCTCATTTGGAAAGGGAGACCTAATACTTCTTTTAAAACACAAAAGAAATGTATATGGTAAGAACCTTATGTGTTTGGGGTTTATTGCTTCAATATTGTTTCAAATGTAAATTTCACTTCTCCTTTTGTTTCTTAAAATAAAAATTTAAATATGAGGCCCATCCTGTCTGCCACTTTTTAAAAAATAAAATCTATTACACATCAGTCTCATTATCCTGTTCTTCAGATGAGGGGATTGTATGTGACTTGATCAAGGCCACACAGCTAAAGATACTGAGCCTGGTTTTTGAACCCATTGTTCATCTCATGAAGAAATGGAAGAGAGGAAAATAGGCTGGTGAGGGAACAAAGAGAACTTCTGGAGAGTTACTTCAGAATGAGCCTCAAAGCGGGGGGCTGTTTGGGAATGATGCCTTCAGTCAAGTTGCCTGTGACAGAGGGAGAGATGATCTTGAAGGCTTTGATGTCCAACTAGAAAAATGCACATCCTTCTGCAGAAGTTTGATTTCAAGGTTGGCTTGAACAGGGTTGGCTACAAAGAAATGTTTCATGCAGATCTTTTTGTAATAGTGACAATTTCCTGGGATGGTGAGGCTGAGCAGTTTGAGTCAAACCTTCCTAGTGAGGCATGTCACAATTTCCATAATATCATGTATCTGTACTGTAAGAAGCCTATTAGGTATTATGCCATTATTTGGAAACAAAAAGACTTATTCATAATAAAAGCAATAGAATATTGGTCTACAAAATTTTATTTTATGTGTTACTCAGAAATTAAATTGTCAATTGTCCATTGCTATTTTGGATGAATTTGGTGCAAGATGCCTTCCAAAGTATATATCATAGGCAGGAGAAATGGGTAATTATTGCTGTAATTTTTGTATTTACACAAAGATAGCATAATTATGGAAAATTCTAAAACATTGGTTTATAGAAATAGCATTAAAATGATGCTGCCCGTAAAATAATTTATGTCAATGTGATGAAATGTATTGCTATTAGGGGAACAGTCAAATATTTATATTTATTGTAATATTTATCTCATTTTTAAATTTCGGAATATTAAGGAGGTACAATTGTTTTGGTGATATAAATTGTTTGTGTACTGTTTGAGTCAAGTTTTAAATGTTCCTATCCCCCACATAGTGTGCATTGTACTCATTAGGTATGAATTTACTCATCCCCTCCAGCCCCCCACCTGCTTGATTTCCAATGAATGTTATTTTCATATGTGCACCTAAGTATGGGTTGATTAGAGTCAATTTAGTGGTGAGTAAACTAAATGTGGTGTTTGCTTTCCCATTCTTGTGATACTTCACTTAGAAGAATGGTCTCCAGTTCCATCCAGGTTAATACAAGAGGTATTTCACCATTTTTTTTATGGCTCAGTAGTTTGTTTAAAACGTTTATTTCTCAAGCAGAAGCTGAATGCCTAGTCTTTACCTCTATCCTTCTTTTGCCTACATTCATTATAGTGCCTGGTTAAACAGAAAGCTTCAAAGTGTTTTATTTGAATTTTGCTCTTAGAAGTTCACATGCTTTAATAAAGACATAAAATGAGGTGTATAATGCCGATGTCTATAAACCCTTGTTACTTATCAAGAAAGCAAAATGTGATGTGCAGGCATAGCATATAGTTTGTGGTCTGAGTACTATATTGGAGTTGCCAGTAATCCTTGGTGGAAAATGAATCAGCAAATAAATTGACTCAGTTTGTGAAGTCAACAGGCTTTTTTCTCAGGTTGAATTTCCTATATTGACCTATCAAAACTAATCAATTTAAATTTTTAATTAAAACCACACTTATAGATTGGCTCTTTTATTTGACCATCAATCATATAATACACATCTAAAAGTTCAGAAAACATTCATTTATAGTTTAATAAGGAAAAAAGTCAATGTAATTTCTATTGAAGTCATAAATTATTGCCAAAATTGTTTATTCAGTATTTTCCGCTCTTTTTTTTCCCCCCATGTGGATTTTTAGGTCCCCAAAATCTAGCCCAAAAATATGAAATAGGTAAGTTGTTAAAGCACTTATGTGGTCCAATTAATACAACTAGACTGGGTGCACTCACTGCATACTTCAATCTGTGGTGAATGTCTTCATAGTTGGAGAAATATTTGTATAAACAGATTTCTTCATTGTTAAAAAAGAAAGGTGCTGTATACTATAGTTTTATGAGTTTTTATAAGTGTCCTTCCATTAAATATTTGGTAGACTTTAACATTACACATAATCATATTAATAATGTAGCCAGGAGAGAGGATGCCTAGCTGAAGTTAGACGGCTGTGTCGCCATGGCTCTTTCCCTCTGAATTCTCCCAAGGCCCCTTGGGTTTATCTCCCTTTGATTCCCGCACCTGAATTGTTACACCTGGCCTTTCAAAATATGTTGATAATATTGTTTTGTGTCTGTCCAGGACCCTACTTTTGTTACTATTTTTTACCATATGATGGTTTTTCCTGCTGGACTTTTCAAGAAAGAAACTGTTAGAGAAATAATGAAAACTAACGATAAATATATACAATCTAAAATAATCAAGTTTCCAGAACTGAGGAGTTTTCTACAGGTTCTGATGGACTCATGCAGCTTTGTAAACACTTAAGCTGAGTCTTCCTTCCAGATTTTCTCAATGTATATTATTGTTTCTCTTAGTGTTTGAGCTGGATTCATCTTATGTGCCTAAAATGAATATATTAATCTTCTCAGCTTGTCTATTTATTGACAAACTGTAATTGTTCCTCTGATCTTTGTTTCCTCTTTCTCAATTGTCTCCACCACTGACTTCTCATTTCTAATGTTCTGACTTAAGTAATTGTCTAGTTAACCCCTAATTTTGAAGGATGCTGGCTTTGCTCTAGTCTTAGAGAGAGAGGAGGCTCTTTATGGCTTTAATTAGGCTGACGAAATATGAGGCACTTGGTGACAGTGCTTTTCAATTGTCCTCTCTTTCCAGACAGAGGCCGGCAGCCTTTGTGTTGAACGTTCAGTGGACATCTCATAGGCAGAAAACCTGGTGAGAACAGAACCTGCATCAAGGGAGCAGAGCCAAGAAAATGGTCCAGATAAACCAGGCTGTCGTTACCTCATCTGAACTGTTTGATCAGGCTTCACCTGAATCCAAGGAAATATTTGAATTTTTAATTCAAGTGATGCAAAAACTTTATTTTTTTGTTGAAAATACTTTTCCCCCAAATACCAATTGACTGGTTCTGTAACAATTAAATGTGCTCTAATATGAATGTATTTACTTACATTATGCAGCTTTATGCATGATAAATTTATAAAATCTCTTTGGTGAAAATGGATGGAAAAGCAGAAATTCTTATTCACAATGATTAAGAAATTCAATTAAGGCCAATTTAAATTGTTAGCCATAAATATATATACAGTAATTTTATAGCTCTACCTCCACTTGGCACTTTACTACAAGACTGATCAAGAACATTAGTCTGTTCTTTTTTATTATTATTATTATTTTTATTTTAGCATATTATGGGGGTACATGAGTTAAGGTTACATATATTGCCCATGCCCCCGTCCCCTCTCGAGTAAGAATCAAGCATGTCCATCTCCCAAATGTTGCACATCTTGCCCGTTGTGGTTGTATATACCCATCCCCTCCTCCCCCTCCCACCCTCCTGACACCCGATAGATGTTACTCCTATATGTCCACTTAGGTGTTGATCTGTTAATACCAATTTGCTGGTGAGTACATGTGGTGCTGGTTTTTCCATTCTTGAGATACTTCACTTAGTAGAATGGGTTCCAGCTGTATCCAGGAATATACAAGAGGTGCTACATCACCATTGTTTCTTAAAGCTGAGTAGTATTCCATGGTATACATATACCACATTTTATTAATCCACTCATTAATTGATGGGCACTTGGGTTGTTTCCACAGCCTTGTGATTGTGAATTGTGCTGCTATAAACATTTGAGTGCAGGTGTCTTTTTCATAAAGTGACTTTTGATCTTTTGGGTAGATGCCCAGTAATGGAATTGCTGGATCAAATGGTAGATCTACTCGTATTGCTTTGAGGTATCTCCATATTGCTTTCCACAGAGGTTGAACTAGTTTGCAGTCCCACCAGCAGTGTAGGAGTGTTCCTGTCTCTCTGCATCCACGCCAGCATTTGTTGTTTGGGGATTTTTTGATAAAGGCCATTCTCACTGGGGTTAAGTGATATCTCATTGTGGTTTTGATTTGCATTTCCCTGATGATTAGAGATGAAAATTTTTATATGTTTGTTGGCCGTTATTCTTTCTTCTTTTCAGAAGTTTCTGTTCATGTCCTTTGCCCATTTTTTGATAGGGTTGTTTGGTTTTTTTCTTGTTGATTTTCCTGAGTTCTAAATGGATTCTAGTTATCAGCCCTTTATTAGATGTGTAGCTTGCAAAAATTTTCTCCCATTCTGTGGGTTGTCTGTTTGCT